TTAAAAAGTCTATTTAATTAAGTGGAACGTGTTGTCTATATTTATTTAAAGTTGCGCATTTTCATGCGACTTCACATTTCTGAAACCCACCCCCCCACCTCCTCACACATCGTCCCAAATGTCTGACCCCCCCTCGCCCTAGGTGCGTGACGTCATTTATGGACGGCCCCGAATGGCGCCAAACGGAACATGACAACCGAAAGAGTTAAAAAAAAGACAGCACAAAGGAGGACAAACGCATGAGGTGAGACCAAAACGGCGTGATTCACACGTGATTCAGACGCAATACAAACAGGATGCCTTGTCTCTCGACACGCAATGCGCTCATGTTCGCGCTAACGAGGTTAGGTGCTGTACGGGGCGAGGTGACTTTGTCACCAGTTGCGCACTGAACGCACCACGTCGACGCCTTCTAACATTTGTTTAACATTTTCCCTCCCCAAGCGGGGAGGTGCACCATTCCCGGAGGTACTGCAATACCGGGTTGATGCGCGGAGTGGACGGAGCAAGCCCCTATTCCATCTCCCTGTCCCAAAAATCAATTTAATATAAGGTACCACAATGTGGTACGTATCAGATATTAAACTGATAAGAACAGATACTACACTTGATCTTAGCCAAAAGGCCGAGAAGCGATAACTTTAAGCTGTCGGTGGTGGGGTACACATACCCACAGAAACTCTCTCTACGCTATGGGGTCATACCATGATCACCATAAAACAGCTATAATCACATGTAACACAGCTATACACGTAATATGGAACATTGTTTATAGCTTGAAATTTAATTAACTTTAAGTTACAGATTGTATGTTTGTATCGAAAATATAGTATAGCACATTTTTTTAGAATCTCGCGCAATGCCTTATGGGAGTGACGTTAACGGCTTCTCTACGCTATGGGTCGTACCATAATTCACACAAAACGGCTATTTCACATGGAACACAATCTCACTCGTGATGTGAAAATATTTTAAACAGATTTACATCACATGTTTTAAATTCAGATATCTGCTGTTTGTACCGTATATAAATTTCGCGAATTATTAGCATCCCGCCAGAGGCTCAAATCATTTTCGGTTATACCGCCATGCCCCACGTGGCGGTGCACACGTGTGAGTGATAAGGTGGACAACGTCCGGCCCACGGGCCGTATAAGGCCCGCGAAATTATTTGGTCTTCTTTGGTTCTTTCGGTAAAGTCACGTAGAATGAGAATCAAATAATAAATTGATAAAATAAAATAACACAATAAAATTCTCACGACGTTTTCGGCCACAACGTCGTGAGAATTTTATTGTGTTATTTTATTTTATCAATTTATTATTTTATTCTCATTCTACGTGGTGACTTTACCGAAAGAACCAAAGAAGATGAATCCTTGCAGTCACGAAAGCTTTAAATCGAAAAATCATTTGGTCTGTTCCAGCCATCCAATTGATCAAATATAACAGGCTAATTTTTAATTCGATCATTTTGTATGGCCCGCGAATGATGTTATATAAATATCCAAATGGCCCTTGGCAGAAAAAAGCTTCCCCACCCCCTCCAATCGCTCTATTAACTTTTCAAAATGTATTCTACTTACACGAGACGTGTCCGTGACCGGAAACATGTATAATCTCGTATTAACATAAAGGCAGTAAAATTTATATCAATATATTAATCCTCCCGGGTCCTTCGCACTTGTAGTCGCAGTGATGCCATCACGTTCCCCTATTTTAAGACCAACAGCGGGAATACGTGTACTGAACTTCACAATTCTGGCGTTCGCCTGATGAAGCTGGTTGTTGTGATCACCAACGAAACGTAGCACTCCATTGTAAATGTTGTGGCGTTACCCTCTCACGCACCGGTGTGCTAAAGTCTTCACAAACTGGCGCACGTTTTAGTCATGTCACAAGCCTCACCAATTGGCTGTTGGGTGGATGTGGGTTTACGGCAAAATTTACGCGATCTAACCCCTAAAAACTATCATGCGTAAGTATCTGTGTGTTTTTGTGGCTTTGTGTGTACACTTACATTTCGTTAAATATTAAAAAAAAAGATTGTAATGTCGACTTGTGTATGTTATGCGTGTGGCAGTGTACTGTATGTTTGCACGTGTGTGTAGCCGTGTGGTTATTTATCTATGGGGTGATGCACGCTGCAGTGGTGCTGCAGTACGGTCGTGTTAAGTGGTTGTGTTGTGGGTTCTGTGTTTGCCGTTGTGTGGTGTACAAAGCTATTGTGATACGTTGTGAATGTGGTGGGTTCTGTGTTTGCCGTTGTGTGGTGTACAAAGCTGTTGTGGTACGTTGTGAATGTGGTGGTGATGTGTACTGTTGTTGCAGGGTGTGTGATGTGGTGCAGTGTGGGGTGGAATCGCTGGGGTTGGTCTCGTGCGGGTGAGCCTGAGCTAAGGGTTAGCAGGGGGCGTGTAAATCTGCGTAGATTCGTGTGTTCGAGAGGCTGGTAACCCTTGACACTATTTCATACCAAATATCGCAGTGGAAACACCAAATTAAGTTTGTGCTTAACCCAATTTGACGGTGCCCGACTGAGCCCCATCCCTCGGGGTTTCCCCTCCAGAAAGAGAAAAACCCACCGCGGTTGTCCACGTGGAATGTCGAACCCTGTTCAGCCCACAGCTACATAGACCCCGCCCACCCACAGCTATATAGACTCCGCCCACCCACAGCTACATAGACTCCGCCCACCCACAGCCACATAGACTGCGACCCAGCCACCGCTACATAGACTCCGCCCACCCACCACTACATAGACCCCGCCCACCCACCACTACATAGACTCCGACCACCCACCGCTACATAGACTCCGCCCACCCACCGCTACATAGACTCCGCCCACCCACCGCTACATAGACTCCGACCCACCCACCGCTACATAGACTCCGACCCACCCACCGCTACATAGACTCCGACCCACCCACCACTACAAAGACTCCGACCCACCCACCGCTACATAGACCCCGCCCACCCACCCCTACATAGACTCCGCCCACCCACCGCTACATAGACTCCGACCCACCCACCGCTACAAAGACTCCGCCCACCCACCGCTACATAGACCCCGCCCACCCACCCCTACCTAGACTCCGCCCACCCACCGCTACATAGACTCCGCCAACCCACCTCTACATAGACCCCGCCCACCCACCGCTACATAGACTCCGACCCACCCACCGCTACAAAGACTCCGCCCACCCACCGCTACATAGACTCCGCCAACCCACCGCTACATAGACTCCGCCCACCCACCGCTACATAGACTCCGCCCACCCACCGCTACATAGACTCCGCCCACCCACCGCTACATAGCCTCCGCCCACCAACCACTACATAGACTCCGACCCACCCACCACTATATAGACCCCGCCCACCCACCGCTACATGGACTCCGACCCACCCACCACTACATAGACTCCGACCCACCCACCGCTACATAGACCCCGCCCACCCACCCCTACATAGACTCCGCCCACCCACCGCTACATAGACTCCGCCCACCCACCGCTACATAGACTCTGCCCACCCACCACTACATAGACTCCGCCCACCCACCGCTACATAGACTCCGACCCAGCCACCGCTACATAGACTCTGACCCACCCACAGCTACATAGACTCCGACCCACCCACCACTACATAGACCCCGACCCACCCACCGCTACATAGACTCCGGCCCACCCACAGCTACATAGACTCCGACCCACCCACCACTACATAGACTCCGACCCACCCACCGCTACAAAGACTCCCACCCACCCACCGCTACAAAGACTCCGACCCACCCACCGCTACAAAGACTCCGACCCACCCACCACTACATAGACTCCGACCCACCCACCACTACAAAGACTCCGACCCACCCACCGCTACAAAGACTCCGACCCACCCACTGCTACAAAGACTCCGACCCACCCACCTCTACATAGACTCCGACCCACCCACCGCTACAAAGACTCCGACCCACCCACCGCTACAAAGACTCCGACCCACCCACCGCTACAAAGACTCCGACCCACCCACCGCTACAAAGACTCCGACCCACCCACCACTACAAAGACTCCGACCCACCCACCTCTACATAGACTCCGACCCACCCACCACTACAAAGACTCCGACCCACCCACCGCTACAAAGACTCCGACCCACCCACCGCTACAAAGACTCCGACCCACCCACCGCTACAAAGACTCCCACCCACCCACCGCTACAAAGACTCCGACCCACCCACCACTACATAGACTCCGCCCACCCACCGCTACAAAGACTCCGACCCTCCCACCACCGTGTCTCCCCAGGCCTCTGGACGCGTCCCCATCACGTCGGCCAGGCCGTGAGCGCGTTTGGCCTCGCGGGGATGTTTGCTTAGGGGCCGTCCATAAATGACGTCACGAACCTAGGGGGAGGTGAGAAATGTGACGTCATATAAAAATGCGCAACTTTAAATAAATACAGACAACAGGTTCTACTTAATTAAATAGACTTTTTAATACAAATTTTCTCCTACAACATCAGAGTGCAGCGCCACATTAAATACGCACTACAATGACAATAGTTAAAGCGATTTGAAGCGTGGTTTTTTTTGGGGGGGGGGCAGAGCTTTGTGACGTCATTTGAGGGGGGGTCTGACTTTTTGTGACGCCGTGTGACGAGGGGGGGGTAAAAAATCGTCCAAAATCGCGTGACGTCATTTATGGGACGTCCCCTTATCGAGCGGGGCAGGCACCGCCTTCACGCCAGTGATTGTTTTCGATGTCCCACAATTAATCGATTCGTGACGAAGTCGTCGAACTCTGGGGCAACGTCTCAATGTAATCGATTACGCGTAAACCGAAGGCATCGATAACGTGAAAAATGCATTACGTGTAATCGATTTTACACGTAATCAATTTTACACGTAATCGATTTTAATCGATTACTTCTCCTTCTGGAGCGAACCCCCCAAGGGGGTGTGGTTCAGTCGGGTTCCGCCAGCTGGGGTTCGGGCAGAAGGCGTCACGAACGTCCCCCACCCCCCACACCCCACGACTCCCCTGGGGGTCTCCAGCACGACATTCATTCGGCGTCTTTACTTATTGGTGTCTTTGCTCGAGAATCGGGCCCTCGCACACGCGTATCGATTACTCTCATCGATTGTTCTAATCGATTACTCCCAACCCCCCCCACCTCCGCCATTCGCTGATCGGGAGCGACGTTGCCAGAATGGCGGCTGCTCCGTCCGTGAAGATCAGCATCGAGGCGGGGAGCGAGCACCAGATCAAGGAGGTCGCCCTCGATGGCACCGAGACGTTCGTGCAGCCGCTGTCCATGTCCGAGAACCTGGCCAAGTTGGCGCACAAGATCGACTTCTCCAAGAGCGACTCGGAGGACGAGGCCGAGGGAGACGCCGAGGCGGCGGCGGCCTCCGAGGAGCAGGACGAAGGTGCTCGCCTGGATTTTGAGCCGCAGCCTGAGCGCTAGGCCGCTGGGGGGCGAGGGAGGGCGAGGCTAGGGGAGGGGAGGCCGCTCACGTAAATTGTTGTTGTGGTGGTGGGTTTATAGCGCTGTGAGAAGCATTGATTCAAGAGCCGAATGGCTCACAGGGCTATACCAAATCAATGAACTATTGTCAGCAGCAGTAGTATTATCGTCAATCGTTCGTACCAGCATGCAGGCAAAAGCCGTCAACAGCAGTCAAATCATCCATAATACGGGGGGAGGGGGGGGTGTGTTTTTTTGGGTTACATCGCGTAAATATAAACGTGTCGTTAAACCCGCCACCACCCGACACGGCCCAATTAGTAAAGTTTGTCACGCAAACAGAACGTGTCAATTCGTTATTTGTACAGCGACACCGGTGTGTTGGAGAGCAAATCCACAGCATTCAGTCAGCAGCAGCAGCGTCAGCAGGAACGGACATTATAGGCGATTTGAATATAAGCATGATTAATAATAAGTCGTGAGATAGTGAGGCTTTCTTGGGTCAACTGTCAGCATAAATGGGCCATAAACATCAGCAGCATTATAATTATTAACCATCATCGACAACAGAAACATAATCACATTGTTGACACCAGCCACGGTAACGCCGCTGTTGGAAGATTTCACCACGCCAATTCATAAAACAATCATTACAGAGCTTCACAACGCAAGACTCATTTTGTTGTCGGCTTAATGCACTCTTTTAAGTTTCAGTACTGTGGCGAAGTTTGCAACGTTTCAAAAGGTTGAAGTGTGGTTTTCCCATTACAATGAGAATGTTCTTACGCCTTGTTTCAGCATCTCAGCTATTGGTGAAAATTATATATTCCTATGGCAGAAGTTGAATGAGAATATTTATTTGTACTGCTGGAGGAACTCGATGAGCTATAAAGCTCTTTTTCGCATATGTCCAGTCGGGGCGGGTCACGACGTTATATATATTTTATTATTTTATTGTTTCCATTCAACGTGACTTTACCGAAAGAGCTAAGAATATGAATTACTGCAGTCACGAAAGCTTTAAATAAAAATTTAATACAAAACACCAACGGAGTTCAAAATATCGTAAAGGTAAACACATCGCTAAAAAAAAAGTAACCACTGTCATCGATTTGATGATGCTACTCCTATGAAGGCACCATAATTCCCTGGGTATGCTTGCACAGTGCGCGCTGTACGTACCACACGGGATCTATAATGGCTCGGGAGCAGACAGCCGTGTTCCCTTTTATACAATTAATTGCCACAAACTCGGCGCTGCTGTGAATGAGACGCGAGGTTTAATTGCCGGTTATTTTTCGTCTGCCCTTCTCCCCACCGCTCTGCTGGTGCTGTCATCCAGGCGTTGCAAAATTCCAACCCTCGCTGTGGCCCTGGGACTCTGTGAGGAACCAGCTGCGAAGCGCCCTCACCGAGATCAGCGTGCTCTATGACGTGCTCAACGTGGTGCGAGAGAAGAAGTACATGACCCTCGACCCCGTGTCGCTGGAAGTGCTGCCCTCTCGTCAGGTGCGGTTTGAGCTCTTGACCCCAAACACGGCAATCGCGGAGGCCAGGGAGGGTAGAGAGGAGATGCTAAGGGTGCAACGATGCCGTGCGTGAAATTTAGTTACCCAGAATATATCCATTGTGAGTCTCAAAACTCCTTCACCAGGGTCATGAGGGTTCTGCATTGGGTTCTTCAGCCATTTTATTTTTGGAGATTGTTTTACTTGTGGGGTGAAACTTTACGACGCGGGGGGAAATATCAGGCCATGCATATGAAGAGATAATGCTTAAAATGTTCAAATAGTTTTAACAAACCCACTTCCAAGCCTTTCTCTGAAGTTTCTATGTCGCCATTAAGTTTCCTGAACACTTTGCTGTCTGTTACTGAACGCGAGGGTAAAAGTAATTGCTGCATCACTGGCGGGAGGGGATACTGGCTGAACCGTTACGCATCCCCCGATCGGCAGTTGCTCCAATTTGTGGCTAAGAAGAAGACGCTGGCTGGCGCGGCGCAAATCCTCCTGCGCGGCGCCGAGAGGCTGAGCCGATCGGTGGCCGAGAGCCAGGAGCAGAAGAGGCAGCGCGATTTCAACGCGGAGCTGCTCAAGCTGCGCCAGCACTGGAAGCTGCGCAAGGTTCGCGACAAGATCCTCGGAGACCTCAGCTACCGCAGCGCCGGTGAGGAGTTCTCGTCCGTGAGTTGCGGGCATTCTGATAATGATGGCGATTTATTTTTGGTTGAGCATCTCCAGGCACTGTGCACAGCAACCTGCAAAATGCACAGAAACACAAACAATGCAGATTTAAGTTAGGTATCATTATTTCTGGTTCATACCCAGCTTGCAAATGTTTTATGGAAAGTCTTATCTGTTTGACTGTCGACGCTTGTGGTGCCTCTGTTGTTGCGCCGTGCAGGGTCCCTCTACCCGCACCAGGGCACATTTGAGGTGCTCAAGAACACAGACATTGACCTGGACAAGAAGATCCCGGATGACTACTGTCCCCTTGATGTCTTGGTGCCAAGTGACCTGGAAGGAACTGCATATATCAAGGCAAGGGGAAGCTGCACACGAGCCTCTCGCATATTTAGGATTTGGTAAAAACTGTGAACCAAATAGAGGGTCTCCCGAGGGGTTCAAATGTATTTTGTTTGGCCAGGTGAGAGCTCAAGAGACCCCAGGAGAGCCTCTTTTGCAAGGCTGCACTGGCTGAGTATCAAACGTTACTGGTAGACGTGACGTTGATGACGACGGTTATAATCATGATATTGCTCCATCGGTTCAATCGATTATTATTGCCGAGCTTGCCACCACTGAGGTCCTGGGACCTCAAAGCAGTGAGTTTATGATCACAGCCTCATCTCTGTTGACTGTGCAAAATAAACCACAACAGTAATTGTTGCCTTACACTCTGGCTGTATTACAGTGCCGAGAAATTTTAAGACATTGGTTCGACGGTCATGTGACAAACATTATGCTAGGCAGGGAAAAGTGCTTCTCTCTTTTGTGGATAGGTGATTGTTTGCAGAAACTTCACAGGTAGTTCTTTAACATCTTCTTCCAGGGATAATTTTCTACTGCGGAGTGATGTACCGTGCAAGAGTTCGGATTGGGCATTTCATTTGATGATGCCGGTCACAAAATTGGGACATCCGTGACAAAGAGCTTCATAGCTCATCGGATTTTTCCAAGCTAAAGAAAGTTTCTGATTCGGATTCTGATTTGGCTGCTAGAAATATCCACGTGATGATAAACCACTTTTTTGAGCTATCGTTTATGGCCAGGTCGCTTCTGAAAAAGAGCTAGATAGCTCAGTGGGACTTACCTGGTAAAATAAAAAAAAGTTTAGTTTATAATGGAGAGAAAGAAACCATTAAAATATATTATTGTTATGCTCACGATTAATTTAATTGTACATTTGAACCTTATGGGGGTACCCCGGCTCTCCCATAATGTCCGTGATGCAGTCGTTTTTAGTCTGTTGACGATCGGCGATGCGGCAATCGACTCATCTCAACGAGCTGTACACGATGCACTATGGTGCATAGGAGCGTTCAGGGTTTCGGATTGATTGGTACCCCAGTCGCGGAGTGAAGTTCACCCCTGGGAAAAATAATGTCCCAGAAATAAAATATTTAATTGCCTCGGCCATTTTGTATTATTTGGTACCCCGGGCTACCGCCATAACGACCATTTGATAATATAATCAGTTCACATACCATTTGCGCAATTAGTCTACTGAAACATTAAGGATAAAGACGCAAACGAGAAGTTATAAATGAGCCAGGAAAAATACAAACGATGTCGAAAACGTGAAACGAGAGATTTGATTCTTGAATCCCCATTTAAAGTTCAAGCATCAATCATTACAATTTATCAAAGCTGGTAGTTGGGGGGCGGGGGGTGTGTGGAAGAGCTAGGTGCAGGAGGGTTCAGGGTCACATAGCTAATTCAAAGCCATCGATCTAATGTTTTCACGGTGATTGAATCTGCAGGTGTCCATCCAAAAGCAGTCGACAGACATTGGAGACCTGGGCACGGTGAACCTCTTCAGCTGCCCAGCCAGGAAACCACGGCAAGGTGGGGGTCGCGCGCGGGGTCGCGTGCGTGGGTCGCGTGGCGCGCACGTCAGCGGCGCACGGTCACGTGACAACGCAGACCGCTCGAGTTTTACCCGCGGGTTTGTGTTCACACGCCTACGGTTTTTGTGCAGGGGCGCCACACTGGCAGGCGAAGCTGGAGGCCGCCCAGAACGTGCTCTTCTGCAAAGAGATCTTCGCCCAGCTGTCCCGAGAGGCCGTGCAGATCAAGTTCCAGATGCCGCCCATCGTTGTGAAGAACCAGATCATCTCCCAGCTCTTCCCAGGTGCCATTGCACAGCGTTAGATGCGTGCATGGCGTGTGCTGCGTTTTTTGTTTGTTATTAACACCAATTAAGAAGGCAGAGATTTGGGGACAGGAGTGTGGCACAGTGGTAACACGTATACCTCGCAGCAGGGAAGGACCTGGGTTTGATTGCCGACTGTGAAGTATGTATGCTCTCCCCTATTCTGCATTGGTTTTCTCTGGGACTTCTGGTTTCCTCCCAAAAGTAAACAACAATGCTATTTAATTATTGGCCAAACATCCCAATGCCAAGACCACCCTGAAAGAAAGTGTTTAGACCCAGTGTGCTTTTCTGGGTAAACAAATGATAATTACTATTAATATTACAGCATGCTGAGAGTTTATTTTGTGCCGTCATTGGTGACCAACTGAGACGACACTTGAGAACCTGGTTAATCCACGGTTGGGCAGCCGAATCATAGGTTCGAACTCGGGATCTCAGCAGAGCCGGCTCATTGTCCCCCGACCCATTAGCCGCCTCTTAGGTAAGTTTTTGTTTAATTTTCAAGAACTCCGTCATTTCTCGCAGGGCTGCAGCTGTCCATCTCGCTGTGCCACCTGCTGAGCGAGGAGAAGAAGTCGCAGAAGCTGGCGCCGGAGCGCTCGGCGCAAGCAGACGACCACCTGTACGTGCTGGAGCACAACCTTCACCAGCTTATGAGAGAGGTACCGTTGGCCTGTGCTTGCTCGATGTATCTGTGTTAATGCCCTCTCTACAAACAGTAACGCTTGCATGCATCGTGATTAAACGTATTCGTGAACTGGACCACCTGTTAAAAAATATATATATACGGGAGACCGTTGAATTTCGCGGGTTTACCAGTTTCGACCCATTGCAGCCATCCTCTTTGTACACCACTTTTTCTCTTGCTGGGGTTATTTTTGGCCTTTCGCCAGTATACTGTACCCTGAAGTACTGTATCATTGACCGATACCATGGTGCGAGGCGGGCGAGGGATGCGAGGCAGTGAGTCGCACCCCAACCTTGGCTATGCAAGCGTCTCTGGTAAACAAAGACCCTCCATATATAGCCTATGAACAGACTGTAGGGGCAAGTGATGTTAGCGATTAGCACCTTTGTAGGCCAGCACGCCACACGATGGGGTGGGTGGCCAGCACCACGCCCAGTGGGGGCGTGTCCTGATGATATCCCTGACCACCCCCAATCCCCCCCCCCTCATCCTCGATCCCCACCAACGCAGTTCCACAAGCAGAATCTGAACGTGGCAACCATGCCGCACCCGTCAACGGCGCAGTTCGGCCTCACCAAGCGGATGCGCCTGGCGGGGCCTTCGGCCTACGACAAGACAGAGCTGGGGGCACTGCAGAGCGCTGAGGGTCTCCTGGAGAAGATCATCAAGCAGGCCAGACACATCTTCCTGCGGCGCAGGTGAGCGACGTCACGACGTCCCAACCCGCAGGTTGGCACGTTTGTAACGGTGGCGATGATGGAAATAGTTTTAGAAGGAGGGCGATCGCTATTTGTAACCAGGTCATGAGAGCCTGTGACCAAATCACCCGGAATGCGCCCCGTCTTGTCAAATCTCAGCAGCTGTGCAGGGTTGAGCCTGGATAATGTGTGGATGGGGAGTCATAATAATGATGCCCTTAATATAACGATAAAATCCTCGGCGAGCCACGAACCAGTGGCGATTATCCGAACCGGTCCTTGTTCTCCCCTTAGGTCGACTTAGCCAGTACGGCACTGGGGAGACAACAGCAGGCGGGAGTGGTGCTGCCTGGCGTGCTGTGCCAGCCTTGATAGGTGGCGTTCGCTCACAGCACTTGTCCAAACCATTTGCACGGCTACACGGGGGGGACATTTGTCTTTTTGTGTGTGTGTGTGTGTCCACGGTGTAGGACGGCAGCCACGATCGACAAACTGGCGGCAAGGGTGGACGACCCGCAGATCCAGGCGCACTGGTCTAATGTCAACGACGTGTACGAGTCGAGCGTCAAGGTGCTCATCACCTCGCTGGGCTACGAGCAGATCTGCAAGTGAGTTGTGCTCTGCGTGCGGCGTGGGCAATCTGATTCTGAGATTAAACAAAGTATGTCTTGTCTCTTCCCACTCGGAGGGATAATGTTCGTGGCATGACAGGCAAATTGATATATTTAGGGGAGCCACGGTGGCGAGATGTTTGCTACCTCGCCTGGTATATAGGAGGTCGTGGGATCCATCCCGACCCTGACTGGTATATATGTGGAGTTTGCATGGTCTCCCCGTGGTTTGCGTGGACTTTTGTCCGGGTCCTCCGGTTTTTCCCTCCACATTTAGAATCAACATCACGCATTTAGAGTATTTGGCTGCTGCGAATTTCCACTTCTTTGAACTTTAATATTTTTTGCCAGGTCACTATCTGAAAAAGAGCTATATAGCTCAATGGGACTTGTCAAGGGGTACCTCTGCGGATGTGTATACTTTAACTTAGCTATTTCAATGAGCCATTTCAATGCTAAATTATAGGCTAATTCCTTTGTCAAGGCACTTGGCCTTTTCTTCTCACACAGCTTAAAGGTCATGATCTAAGCGTGGCTTCTCTACTCCAGCGCTAATTCCTTTGTCAAGGGGTACCTCTGCGGATGTGTATACTTTAACTTAGCTATTTCAATGAGCCATTTCAATGCTAAATTATAGGCTAATTCCTTTGTCAAGGCACTTGGCCTTTTCTTCTCACACAGCTTAAAGGTCATGATCTAAGCGTGGCTTCTTCCACTCCAGCGCTGTCCTCCAGACAGTCTCGTCCCTTCACCTGATGAAGGCCGCTTGTGTTGTGGCCGAAACGTCGTGATTTTTTGTTATTTTCTTTTCACCTATGTTACTTTACCCAATAGAACCAAAGAGTATGGATCCTAGCAGTCACGAAAGCTTTAAATCTAGAATCAATGGGACTTACCTGGTTAAATAATAGTAGAAATGCAAACAACCAAAATACGCGCGGTTGTTTGATGGCAGCCTGAGACCATCATCAGCTCACTCCGCTTAGGAACCAACTTTAATCGCGGGTGGCTTCAAACCCAGGATCTCGGCAGTGCCGGGTTCATTGCTGCGACACGGCGTGAGCCACTCAGCCAACCTCACCGCGCGCAGTCCTGTACGCACGCGTGCCAGTAGAGAGCTCGGCGGTCGACACTGAGCAGCGTAGCTCACGAGGCCCGTGCTTCTCTCGGAATTCTACCGATGTCTGCCCGTACCCCCAGGACCTTGCAACTGCAGCTCAACATCGGCCTGGAGCAGGTGAAGGTCGTCCATCGCGATGGGCGCGTCATGACCTTCTCCCACCAGGAGCAGGAGCTCATGGACTTCCTCATCTCACAGGTACTGGTTGGGGAGATCCCACACCGCTTTCTTGCGTTCGACGTCCACAACTTGTTCGCGCGTGACAGCCGCTTCAAGGGGAGGAGCAAAGAGCAGATTTTGGATAGCGGGTTTGTGGGATACCATCAAGCGGAAGACGTAAAAGCGGATGTTGTTGATGCTGTCCGGGAAGGTGTCGTAGGTCACTGCTTGTCGACTGTGCAGCAGCTGCAGTATCTGGTGCAGGGTAGAAGATGTTGGCAGTGTGGTGTTGGTGGCATCAATGGCTTTAGCCACGATGGCAACTTGATCTTGATTTTAAAATGCAGTTTTTTTGGCTTGGATCACGCCACCACCTGACACAGCCAATTAGTAAGGTTTGCTCTGTTTACATGACAAACCTTGCTCATTGGCTGTGTCGAGTGGTGGCAGGTTTAACGACACATATATTTACGCGATCTAACTAAAAAAAACCCTGTATTATGGATGATATTGGTTGCGAAAGCCTACGTGTTAAATTGACGAAGACTTGCTGAATCTCACTTGCTCATGCATTGGGATGTACAGCGAGTTCCTCTTAAGGGAATTTTTACATGTAGGTGTGAAACCAGAGTATCTGCATTTCACCCCTGGACACGGGGGAATAACACTCAAAATGTCCGTACAAACAGGTTCACAAAGACCTTTAGAACTGCCTTCCTAGCCCTCTCACATTCCAGTGAGCTTGACAGATGTATTTCGTCCGCCAACTCTTACGTCAAATGCACTCGATCACAGGCAAGCACCACCACCTGGCTTTTGCAGAGAACAACGTCAACTCATTCCACGTAAGAACAGGGTCCAGTTCCGGCCGGTTGCCTGCATTTTACATCCCAGATAATTTATCGATGCTGGCTTGTCGCTCTGTCAGAGGCCACATAGACAGCAAGTCTCCCAGTCACATCTGCAAAGCTACCCATGCTAAGCGACGTTTGTTCCCGTCGTCGGCTCCGCCCCGGCTTTGCCATCTGCAGATGTCACAGCACCAGGTGCATGCAGTGCAGCAGCTGGCCAAGGTGATGGGCTGGATGGTGCTGAGCTTCAGCAACCACGTGGGGCTGGGTCCCGTCGAGAGCATCGGCAATGCCTCCTCCATTAGCGTGGCATCGCCCAACGGAGAGTACTCCATCACCGGTGAGTTCGCTCCACCGCCGCTCTTCAAATCGGCAGCACCTCGCTCACCTTGCGTTGTTCACCACGGCGTCGGCCTGGCGTCTTTGTGCCACTGTGACCACATTTGCAGTTGGAACGCATCTTGAATCCGTCTTTTGAAAGGCCAAGGATTGGTGGATTGTGGACATTTGTGACCACCCTCCTCCCCCCACCCAAAACTGCCTGGGTTCTGAAATGGCCATGCCGGTAATGTAAGTGGGTTCATAACTGAATCTTTTTAGTGTTATTCCCTCTCGCAAGGTGAGATTTCTCCAGGTACTCCAGCTTGTATTCCCACGCATGAAGCAAAACACTCCCTTAAAAAATGAAGGCCAAATAGCCCACTTGAAAACACAAATCGCCGTGAGCCTTTCCCCGGACGAACAACGTGCATTGCCTACATCCCCTTGTTTTAACTCCCGCGGCGCAGTGAGGAACGGGCCAGAGACGGGCACGCGGGTCGTGGTGCAGTGTCCACGGAGCCACTCCAAGGAGCTGCCCAAGAGCGACGTCATCAGCGACCCCAAGTGGCTGCACCTGGGCGGACCCTACAAGGAGGTGAACTGGGCCAAGGTGGAGGGCCGCAATTTCGTCAACAAGATGGAGCTGCTCATGGCAGCGCTCATGCCCAGCTGAGGGTCCCCCCCCACCCCCCCCCCCCCGTGGCTTCCGCGGTGCTGGATGAGGAGGCGCGGTTTGCTTTTGACCAAACGAGCTGACGTTCACCTCCACCCTGGCAAGCAAAGATGTTTATTTATGATGAGGCCAAGTCTATTTTCATTGTTATTTTTTTATTGCAAGGCATGTTGGGGGTATGAGTAAGGAAGTTTAGCGCTCGTGTACTGAACTCGATGATTCACGTGAAGGAATGCCCCAAAAACAACCGACGTCTCCCCTGACGGTTTTTCCCGTCGTTCACGCGAATAATGGCACGTTTTGGCGAAGTTGGATCAAAAGAAACGAACAATGAACGGGGGAGCCGCTTTGTTGGTTTGTGTGATTTTGGAACCTGGCATGTCGCGAGTGCTGTACACACCATTAAAGTTCTACTGTTTGTACGCCTGCCTTCAAGCCTCACGATTCTGTGTGGCTGAATATTTTACGCCAACCCTTCCCAATGCTTAGGAGATTTGGACGGCACTCCTGATTAATAATAATTATGCTAGTTTATCCAAGAAAACTTCACGGAGCCTCAAGACTCGGGTAAGTTTTTTTTTTTGGATCATTTGGGGGAGAGGATTGCTTTGTATTTACCAATAAATGCGAGCAATTTTCCAAATTTAGACCATAATGCCGGCATACAATGGCCTACACTTCTTGCAGTGACATCATGGTTCTTTAACATTCACTGGGCCATGCAGTAGCAACCGGGGTGGCCTTCCGGAATCTAACCGCGAACCTCTCCGACAAGTGGCGAACTCGCCCCTGCTGGGCCATGTCACCGCCCCAACGCTCGCCGCTTGGCCAGCAGTGGCTGGGTTACAGCCGCCTGTGCAGCAACTGCATGAAGCGTCAATGAACAGGGTGGGGCACTGCTTGCTTGAGAACATGCACTCCGCTTGTTTGAAGAGGCATCCCGCAACCCCCATGGCAGAGCGTGTTCCCGCAATATTGGCTCGGAGTAAGTGAAGCCGGGGCATGCTTTGTAGGTGACCAGACTTCCCCCGTTATCGAGCTAGACAGGAACATCAACAGCTGTGCAACCGCGTGAGAACGCAAGGCGCCAAGATAGTCTCATTCGCAAGTGATCTTGAGGTGTGAGTCTGCCAGCGGGGGGGGGGGGGGGGGGGGGTAGGGGTGGAATGAAAGCCAAGTATAATTCCCATTGAGTCATTTGCGGGTAACTTGTAATCACATCCTTGGATGAAGCACTCTGGGGTGGAGGCTGGATTGAGTCGGTCCTGACCCTGGATTTCCTGGCCACACCCACAGAGGAAACCCACATTTTGGTCGCAGTAATCATAGCCACCAACTGCAACCGGCTACGTGCCATGACGTGACCCCGCTGGGACATGTGGTGCTTGGGAAGATGATGACAGACCTGGCACCGCACCCTGGTGCCAAATACGTATGTGCGTACACGTCTGCTGTCAATGCGCGTGTGTTCATTGTCACTGGGTGACACGGTTCAGCGAAGTTTCGCTGGAGTCTTTCGGGCCCGGGGCTTCGTGGTAGATATTATTTCTGTTTGGAAACAATGTGTAAGCAGTGGGGCACCCGGCTCAACATTTCAAGTAGATTTCTTACCAAGAGCACCAAGTTATAAATAACTTTTGCAAGCTATGTTCCACATTTAAACGTCTCCAGTAATTTCCTGCTCAAATTGGCATCGAGGTCGTGCTAATACAGCCGAGACAGTGGTGGTAATTTTGCATCCCCATGGCAGGGACGAGTCTGGCACTACTCTTGACTTCCACACAGCGGTACAGTACTCATTTTTATCAACCACGAAGGGATGATTGGCTCCCTCAACCCCCAACCGGGATTTGAACTCGCATCCTTTTGGTTTCGAGGAGTTAACTTTACGGCTGAGCTACCTGACTTAAAGGTTTCTTGTATATAATTATAAATGTACCCTCAATGAAATATACATCCAGAAGTATTTATAATTTACATAAAATATATACCATGAGAAAAATCGCACTTGCCCAGTCATTTTATTGGAACCCCCTTAGGAAGCAATTACATCTGGGCCTACGCATAAACAAGGCTGTAAAGTTTTAACTGCAAATAATTGGAGAATATTGTGAACAAATTTACTCCGGTTAGCGTCACAGCAGCGGCTTTTGGCGAGTCCTCGAACAAAGACATCAACAAAGACGGTCACTACATCAACAAAGACGGGTCACTACATCAACAAAGACGGTCACTACATCACCAAAGACGGTCACTACATCACCAAAGACGGTCACTACATCACCAAAGACGGTCACTACATCACCAAAGACGGTCACTACATCAACAAAGACGTCACTACATCAACAAAGACGGTCACTACATCAACAGAGACGGTCACTACACCAACAATGACGGTCACTACATCAACAAAGACAGTCACTACATCAACAAAGACGGTCACTACATCACCAAACACGGTCACTACATCAACAAAGACGGTCACTACATCAACAAAGACGGTCACTACATCACTAAAGATGGTCACTACACCAAAGACGGTCACTACATCAACAAAGACGGTCACTACATCAACAAAGACGGTCACTACATCAACAAAGACGGTGACTACATCACCAAAGACGGTCACTACATCAACAAAGACGGGTAACTACATCAACAAAGACGGTCACTACATCACCAAAGACGGTCACTACATCAACAAAGACGGGTCACTACATCAACAAAGACGGTCACTACAACAACAAAGATGGGTCACTACATCAACAAAGACGTCACTACATCACCAAAGACGGTCACTACAACAACAAAGACGGTCACTACATCAACAAAGACGGTCACTACATCAACAAAGACGGTCACTACATCAACAAAGACGGTCACTACATCACTAAAGACGGGTCACTACATCACCAAACACGGTCACTACATCACCATAGACGGTCACTACATCAACAAAGACGGTCACTACATCAACAAAGACGTCACTACATCACCAAAGACGGTCACTACATCACCAAAGACGGTCACTACATCACCAAAGACGGTCACTACATCAACAAAGACGTCACTACATCAACAAAGACGGTGACTACATCACCAAAGACGGTCACTACATCACCAAAGACGGGTCACTACATCAACAAAGACGGTCACTACATCAACAAAGACGGTCACTACATCACCAAAGACGGGTCACTACATCAACAAAGACGGTCACTACATCACCAAAGACGGTCACTACATCACCAAAGACGGTCACTACATCACCAAACACGGTCACTACATCAAAAAGACGGTCACTACATCACCAAAGACGGTCACTACATCAACAAAGACGGTCACTACATCACCAAAGACCGTCACTACATCACCAAAGACGGTCACTACATCAACAAAGACGGTCACTACATCAACAAAGACGTCACTACATCACCAAAGACGGTCACTACATCACCAAAGACGCTCACTACATCACCAAAGACGGTCACTACATCAACAAAGACGTCACTACAACAACAAAGACGTCACTACATCAACAAAGACGGTAACTACATCACCAAAGACGGTCACTACATCAACAAAGACGTCACTACATCACCAAAGACGGTCACTACATCAACAAAGACGGTCACTAAATCAACAAAGACGTCACTACATCACCAAAGACGGTCACTACATCAACAAAGACGTCACTACATCAACAAAGACGGTCACTACATCAACAAAGACGGTGACTACATCACCAAAGACGGGTCACTACAACAACAAAGACGGTCACTACATCAACAAAGACGGTCACTACATCACCAAAGACGGTCACTACATCACCAAAGACGGTCACTACATCACCAAAGACGGTCACTACAACAACAAAGACGGTCACTACATCAACAAAGACGGTCACTACATCAACAAAGACGGTCACTACATCAACAAAGACGGTCACTACATCACCAAAGACGGTCACTCCATCAACAAAGACGGTCACTACATCAACAAAGACGGTCACTACATCAACAAAGACGTGTCACTACAACAACAAAGACGTCACTACAACAACAAAGACGGTCACTACATCACCAAAGACGGTCACTACATCACTAAAGACGGTCACTATATCAACAAAGACGGTCACTACATCAACAAAGACGGTCACTACATCACCAAAGACGGTCACTACATCACAAAAGACGGTCACTACATCACCAAAGACTGGTCACTACATCAACAAAGACGTGTCACTACATCACCAAAGACGGGTCACTACATCACCCAAGACGTCACTACATCAACAAAGACGGTCACTACATCACCAAAGACGGGTCACTACATCAACAAAGACGGTCACTACATCAACAAAGACGGTCACTACATCACCAAAGACGTCACTACATCACCAAAGACGGGTCACTACATCACCAAAGACGGTCACTACATCACCAAAGACGGTCACTACATCAACAAAGACGGTCACTACATCAACAAAGACGGTCACTACATCAACAAAGACGGTCACTACATCAACAAAGACGGTCACTACATCAACAAAGACGGTTACTACATCAACAAAGACGGTCACTACATCACCAAAGACGGTCACTCCATCAACAAAGATGGGTCACTACATCAACAAAGACGGTCACTACATCAACAAAGACGGTCACTACATCACCAAAGACGGTCACTACATCACAAAAGACGGTCACTACATCACCAAAGACGGGTCACTACATCAACAAAGACGGTCACTACATCAACAAAGACGGTCACTACATCACCAAAGACGTCACTACATCACCAAAGACGGGTCACTACATCACCAAAGACGGTCACTACATCACCAAAGACGGTCACTACATCAACAAAGACGGTCACTACATCAACAAAAACGGTCACTACATCAACAAAGACGGTCACTACATCAACAAAGATGGTCACTACATCACCAAAGACGGGTCACTACATCACCAAAGACGTCACTACATCACCAAAGACGGGTCACTACATCACCAAAGACGGCCACTACATCAACAAAGACGGTCACTACATCAACAAAGACGGTCACTACAACAACAAAGACGGTCACTACAACAACAAAGATGGTCACTACATCACCAAAGACGGTCACTACATCAACAAAGACGGTCACTACATCAACAAAGATGGTCACTACATCACCAAAGACGGGTCACTACATCACCAAAGACGGGTCACTACATCACCAAAGACGGGTCACTACATCACCAAAGACGGGTCACTACATCACCAAAGACGGTCACTACATCAACAAAGACGGTCACTACAACAATAAAGACGGTCACTACATCATCAAAGACGGTCACTACATCAACAAAGACGGTCACTACATCACCAAGGACGGTCACTACAACAACAAAGACGGTCACTACATCAACAAAGACGGTCAC